CTTAAAGGGCTATGGGCTAACAGAAACATGTGGTGCCGCATGCGTAGCGGACATTAATGATCTCAGTACCGGTACTGTCGGACCTCCTGTGCGATGCTGTGAGATTGTTCTTCGTGAATGGACTGAGGGTTGGCCCAGTTTTTCGAGCGTTTCTATGCTAAGCAGCTATTCAAGTCATGATTGTAGGTGGCTACTCACCTTTCAACGACCCTCCTCAAGGAGAAATCCTTATCACAGGAGATAATGTGTCACCAGGATATTTCAAGCAACCCGACAAGACTGCCGAGGAATTCATAACGTTTAAGGTACGTTTTTGTTGAAAAAAGTAAAATTCGAAATTACAAAACTCTTATTGTAGGGAAAACGATATTTTTGTACAGGCGATATCGGAGAAAAGAGGAAAGATGGATCTATAATTATTGTTGGTAAGTGCCTGTTTTCCTATCTCAATTTTGTATTCTTGTTAAAGCGAATTGTGCTGCTTCGACCCAGCTGCAGCATTTGACATATGATAATTTCAGATCGAAAGAAAGACCTTGTTAAGTTGCAACATGGTGAATATGTCTCACTAGCGAGGGTAATTCAATCTTTCTTGCACTATCTTCTGCCAGAGACGTTGCAAGCCACTTGATTTTCTTTGTTAAAGGTTGAATGTGCCCTTCTCAATTGCCCCATCATTGACAATGTTTGCGTATATGGATGCAGTTTTGAGGACAACACAGTTGCGCTCGTAGTACCGAACCAGAAGCATCTGGAAAAGATTGCTGAACAGGTCTCTTTGGTGCTGTGCACCAAGTCGCTTTGTCTTATATACTGTGTGTTTATAGATTGGAGAAGAGTCGCGAGACCTGAAGACTATGTGCCGTAATGAGAAAATCACAGCTGAATTCCTCAAGCAAATGAACGAACACGCTAAGAAGAGTTAGTTGTTTTTTTCTTTGCATTTAAACGCATTTTTGTTCTTTCAATCATTAAAATGAGAAGAATACTTTTTTTTGTGTAAACCAATTATATACTTATGTTTCATAACGTACATCTGGAAAAACATTTGATTTTCTTTTTTTTTTACGTTTTCCTTCCAAATGTGCATTTTTGAGAGTGTAGTAGTCTTAATGATGAATTAGGCACAATTTCAAAATCACAAAAAACCATTTTCGATGGTGAATTCTGTTCCTTATTTCAGGTAAATTGTCGCGAACAGAGATGCCTATCGCTATTCATTTGTGCGAAGAAATTTGGACCCCTGACAGTGGCCTCCTCACAGAAGCACTGAAATTGAAGCGAAAACCTCTTCAAACCAAATATCAGTCTGTTATTGATGAATTATACAGGAAAGTCCGCGCATAGTTGTCTCACTTTCCTACATCAAATTTTGCAAACATTGATAAAGGAAAGAGTGTTTTGTTGTTAATCATTAGGTTAATGACGCCTGCGCCTCTCCAGCGCTGCGTCTCTATCTATAATTTTTGTTGAATTGTTCTCAATATTCTCATCAGTATCGTATAAGCTTTCATCAATGAATACATCTGTTCTACTGAACAACTCTCACTAGGTTTGTGTGGTGCCTCAAGCAGCATAATGAGCCGCAGACTGTATGCCCCTTTGCTTGTTATCGACATTGCTTTGATTTGCATGTTCACCGTGGAATTTGCTTCATGTTTGGATATCATTTGGAGGTGCATCTCTTGTCTTCTCTATCTCTGTTTGCTTTCCTTTTCGTCTCATCGTTTCTGTTCTTAAGTCTTCGCAAAAATTTACTAGTTATCTTTTTAAAGGTTGTTTCTTTTACAAAGCGTATTTGAACTATTTTTCACTTGTTGGTGTGAGTCGCTCCCATCAGGCCAATTCACAGAGATTTTCTTTTGACTGGTTCTTATGCTCATCCTACACCCATGCCCGGTATCGTACCCTCCGAAGCCCTTCCCTTCCTCTCTCATGCCACACAACCTAGTTCCGGGCCATTCAAAATCGATTACTTTGTATTTAGTGGATTTCTAGCACATAATTTTACATAAGCCTAATAAAGAATTTTATTAATAGTTTGATGTACAAGCCATTGGTGTGGAAGTTGTAAAATAATTCATTTACAGATGTTATGAAACATGGAGATCAAGGGTATCACATGCGATATTTGGTTCCGTTTGCGTACTTCATAGATTCTCCGCACGCCAGCTGAGGTATTTGCAGGGGTACCAGTCGGCGGTATAGAATCATCCATAGTAGAAGAGTTACTCCCAAAGTGCCTAACTGGAGTATGAGAATCATTTTGCTTGCAACAGTATTTGACAATCTTATTGAGACGCCTGGGAATTGTTAGTTAGTTGCTGAAGGCGCTGCTTCTGCGAAAATTGAAATATAACTTTGCTTTTGCTGCTGCTTTTTGTTTATCATAGTGCATTATCAATTCTGCCATTTTGTGCTGAAGCGACAAATGCTTGTTACAATGTTATTAAAGCATTCTTTGTGTTGGCCATTGTGGCTTGACTGTACACTAAGCGTTTCTTTGTTGCACTTATATGGTGAACAGATTACCATTAAGGAAGGATTGTGAACTACAACTTTACGCCAAAGAAATGACATACTTTCTAGGACTTCAGGCGTGGGTGAGGCAAATGATTCAGAAGAGCCTACCCCGAAATTGTTCAAGCGGCTAAAACTGACTTCGCAAGATGCTCTGCGACCCACTTATCATCTATCTCATAAATTCCCAATAATCAATTAAATATGCTTCAAAAGCACGGCCCATTCGCGTTACAACTGGCACAAAAGATTTTCAATCCGACCGAACCAACAGGGGCAATCGGTAACTTACCTCGAGCGCCCATACTGGTATGGGGCCGTACACCTGGAATAACCAAGATACTAAAAGCGGTCCAGCAGTTCGTGCTAAACTACCCGACATCAGCATAATGCCTTGCATAGTGCCCTAAAAGATAAAGTAGAGATGTTAAACAAGCAGATATTGGGCTGATCAAGAAGCTTACCTGCCGCCTAGCTCCAAGAATTTTGCTAAACAATGTGTTCATCGAGACATTTACTATAGGAAAACAAGCAGCTAGTAAGGTGCAATAAAGAACTGAATAAAGCCAGAAGTTCACCTGTAAAATTTACGATAGAATAAATCTAGTGATTACTGCATATGGCTACATAGACACCATAGAAATTAATGATTTATGAAATTATTATTCTCGTTTTCTTGGTATGAAGTAAGGTCTAGTTTTCTTAAAGCATATCCCAAAACATTTTATTCTTAAAAGGGAAGCAATCCGTGATTGGGAAGTTTTTCAGATGACTAAATTTAGTATGTACTTCATTACAAATATTTTCTGATATTTTAAATTAGGCGATAAGGAGATACCTGATGCACGGAGTTGCACCAGCTGTAGTTATCCGGATCGCACCCAAGAGTCTCATTATCCGAGGTGTCTGAAAGAAAGGCAAGTTTAGTATGATAATTACAGGTTCAGAATTCTTATGCGCTTCTTTATCATAGGACTTTGAGATTTGCGAAACTTCGCGATGAGGGAGATAGCCAAGACAAATATAACTTATTTACTACGTTAATTTCTTGTACGATATGCTGATTGGGGAAGGAATGGTAAATGGCTCGTAGTTAACGCTAAACGCTCGTAGTTATCTGTTATCCTACACTTGGAATCAAATCCGATCCTATAGTTGCCCTTCACTACAAAGATCAGACCTCGGCGGCAGATCTCGAAGGGCAAACTGGAATTCGATTTTGTGTGAAAATTCAATCTCAAATATGACCGCTTCCTCAACAACAAGATTGTTAAAGCTCCCCTTCCTTTTCTAGTGGGGATGCCCAGCATGCAGCCTACTTGTCTTATAGAGTACTCAATTGATTCCATACACACTATAACCATTTAGAAATCTGCTCCAGCAAATTTGATGTTTGTTTCATTGCGAGCTTTCGCGCGGCAAATCTTAACGATTTTTT